ACACATACAGCTTTCCCCTCCAGACCCTTTACCATCCTTGTGGCCCTCTTTTGCACACTCTCTAATAGCTTAACTTCTTTCTCATATTGTGGTGCCCAAAACTGCACACAATATTTGCTTCTAGGAGCAGTCAATTCACTCGGTGAGATACTTGGACTCTCATGAGCACTGCAGGCATCTCCTAGGAGTGGGGATTCCCTTGGAGCAAACCCTGCCCATCCCAGTCATGCCAACAGTCCCACCAGTGTGGGATGCTGAGGGTGCAGTGCAAGATAGCACCAGCAGCAGTGCAGGACCACCATGACCACCTGTGTTTTGTGTTGTGGACCACAAAGATCGCCTTGGGGATGGTAGACTCCATAGAAGTCTTTTTACAGTGAAAGTGATGAAACACGAGGTTTCCCAGAGAGGTGGTACATGTCCCATCCCTGGAAACATTCAGTCAGGTTTGTTGGGGCTCTGAACAACCTGACTTAGTTGAAGACATCCCTGTTCATGGCAGGGGGTTTGGAACCAGGTGACTTCTAAAGCCACCTTCCAACCCAAACCATTCTGTGATTCTATGAGCAAGAGACATTCCAGTGCCTACAAGCAGATTTTGTCCAAACTGGTAGGAATGGGAAGGGTTCACTGCTTTGGCCTCAGTGTTACCTGCTCACTGTCAGGAGGTGCTCATGAAGCTGATGTTTGGTGGCAGTTTCAGTGGCACAAGCAGACCAGCCCCAGCTCCCCGTGTTCCTCTGCTGCAATCCGCTCACCCTGCCTCCACTCCTCATGCCCCCACATCCACAACAGCTTTTGCAGAGCCACCCTGATCAAACCAACCCTAAAGTAAAGTGGAGAAATTCCATTTTTTGGAGCACACATCTGACCTATCAGTTATGCTCTAGATATATGGATAGTGCTAAGGATATTGGTCATAGCGAGATGTAGCTCTGCAGCTTGGATTAAATCAAAAACTGAGTTAAAAACAAGGCTGAGTCTTGGCTCTGCTGTGACTCCTTGAGCTCCACAGGGATCACTCAAGCTGGGAGCAGACAGTGCTTGGGGCAATGCTTTGCATTTGGGAAGAGCAGCTACTTCCTGCTGCTTCGCTCTCTGGAATGGAGTTGCGTCGGGCGGGTGTTAATTGCCTTTCTGGAAATCAAAGCAGCCGGCACAGGGGCTGTCTGCTGGTCTCTGCTACCCCCAGGCGCTGCCCATCAGCTGGCTTTGCCTTCCCCTTCGCACAGGGAAATACCTCACCTGGAGGGATGTCTCTCCCCAGGGACCCCCGGGTCACTCCGAGCATTTGCCCCTTTCCACAGCATTATCCCACAGCACTATCCAAGCGTGAGGTCCTGCGAAGACAGATGCTGAGTTTACTTAATGCCAATGCTGGGCACAAATCCTAGGAAAACACACTCAAATCTGGCTGCAAGGAGAGGAGGAGGAGCAATGGGATGCAGGGAATGGGAAAGAAACGGAGAAATGGGAAGACTTAATGTGTGATCATTTCTCTCCCTGTGTGATTTTGTGGTTTTTACTTTTAAATGCTGGAAAGAAGCCCTTTAGGAGAATGTGGAGCACCACATTACAGCACTTCCCCCTACTGCCAGGTGTACTTGCAGAGTGCAGGGCTGCATTTGGGGGTACAGAGGTATGGAGAGCCCTGACACCCTCCTTTATTTACCCCCACATCCCAGCCAGTCCCACCAGAGGGGTCTCACCTCCTGGCAGCTCCAAGGATCCATCACTCCATTGAAACAGACTTTGCATCTCTTGGTGCATGCAAATCAGGGGCTTTCCAGGAGTTTCTCGAGGGAGCCACTGCCTGTGGGCTCAGCAATCCTCATTCCCCCTGCTAGCTGGACTGGGAGCAGGAGAGATGTTTCAGTGCCTCCTCTGCTGTGAGACTGCTATGGCAACACACTCACATCCAACACCTCAAGGAGATCAAACCACCCAGCCCCTGCTTAGGGGCTTGAGTTTGGTTAATTTTTGCTTTTCCAATGGGGAAAACACACCATTGCACAGTGGTTATCCCTGAGGAGATGACAGGTGGCATTGGGCACACCTGGTCTCTTCCAGAGCACCTCACCTGCAGCTCTGAGAGCACTTTGCTGATGTTAAACCTGTTTCCCATATAAACCACTTTTCCCCATTAGCTCAAGTTTTAAGTGCCTGGTTGGCACAATTTCAGGTGGAATTCAGCTCTGCTTTGACTGACAACAATTCAGGTGTGTTTAAGGGATCTTAATTACATGATCAGATAATGGATACTGCTGGGGCAGAAGAAGAAGGGGTGGGGAGAGACCTGGAGGGCTGGCTGCATGTCACCCTAGGGAGGGAAAAGGGAAGCTGGAAGCAGCAGCATCCTTCACTCCCACACCCCTGGTTACCAGCAGATTTGCTCCTTGCCACAGCCACCTGTTTTCCTGGGGAGCTGTTTGTTTCCCTGCTTGTGCATCCAACCAGCCTTAGTTCAGCATCAACAAGTGCCTGGCATTTCAAAAAGCTGTGGATGCCCCATCCCTGGAAGTGTTCAAGGCCAGGTTGACCTTGAGCAACCCAATATATAAAAAGCTGTCCCTGTCCATGGCACGGAGTTTGAACTAGATGAAATTGAAAGGTCCTTTCCAGTTCAAACCAGTTTGTGATTCTAAAATTCTATGGTTTAAACAGCACATTTACCCTCTGCTGTGCTTTGGCTGCAGAACATTTCCCCTATGGATCCCACCTAAATTCTCATCATCAGTACCAACCCCCCCAGCTACTGCATAGGGCTGGCAGCAGTGGAAAGCAGGAAAATCCTGGATGGAGAATAAGATGGAAGACTCCTTGCCAGAGAAATTATCTGAAGCAGGTGGTTCCAGCTCAGAGGAACTCAATTTATATTCCCAAATGACATGCTGGGAGCTGCTCACAGCTCCATCAACAAGCACAGCACAGGCGAGGCAGATGTTTCAGCGAGTGCCAGCAGCTGGAATAGGATTGCTGGCTCAGCTTGGCTGCACCCATCGCTCCAGACAGTAATTTGGGAAGTCAGTGTTCGAGGCTCATCCCAAGGGAGCCTGTATCGGGTGGCTGCAGGTCTGGATGGCAGAATCACACAGCTCGTTCTGAAACAAAGAGAGGCAGCAGAGTGCAGAGCTGGGCAGGAGGAGACACTCCTGGATTATTTATAGGCTCCAGCCTTGGGAAAAACCTTGGCACAGAAAAGCACAGGTGATGCTTGGGACCAAAGGCCATGGTGGTGATGATGGGGCTGTGCCCTGCCACCTGCACTGCAGGAGCAGCTCTGCCCAGGACACATCCCTGCCAAAGGAGGTGGAAAATGTCTGGGGATGCCCAGGCTCAGTGTGGTGGGATGTGGCTTAGGGACACGAAGCCCTACAAAGGGAGAAGGACACAAGGATCATTCTAGTGAGCAATGCAAGGCATGAGACTTGTCCCCAATGCAGGTGTTGTTGGCACAGGTGAACTTCCAGGTCTGAAGGGTGAAGGAGGTGTTTCCCCAATAGGCTGAGGAGTGTGGCAGAGGCTGCTGCATCGCCAAGCCCCGTGTGATTGTTTTATTTTCCATGTGGTGGCCAGTAACAAAGAGCAGCTTTGCCACACCTGCTGCCCCAGACTGGCAGAACAAAGGGGGTCGATGAAATGCTCCCCGGGTGTGACACAGCAGGGATGTGACAGGCCAAGACAGCAAAGGCTAAGTGGGAATACCAAATCCAATGCAGTTTTGGAGTAATATGGATAAATCCAAGAGGGGTCAGCAGAAGCCACCCCTAACACTGCAAGAGGTCATGGGAGAGCACACAGGCACATCTCAGACACAAAATGCCACCTTCCCAAACTGCCCACAAGGTGTCCCAGAGCCAAGCATGCTTCTACCTGAGGTACAACTCAGCTTGCCTGCCCTGGGGTGAGCCCTCACCACCCCAGCCCAGGGCTGGTAGCTGCTTGTACAAGCCATATAGGTGCCGGGGCAAAAAAATGCTTTCTCTTGGGGCTTTTGAGGTGGCCAAGTGCAGGAGCAAGTACGAAATGCTGCAAAAAGGAATGAGGAAGAGACAGATGTTGTGAGGGCACCTCTTCACAGGAAGGGTTAGAGCAGCTTTGTAGCACAGTGGTGTTTAAGTGCTGCTGCAAAAGCAGCCAGGGGCCCCTTGCTGGGCACACAGCAAGGGAACAAGCACCAAGACCCCAGCAGCAGCTGTGTACACACCACCCTTTCCATCTAACATCAGCAATTGATGGAAAATGGGGTTCAGGCAAGTCTAGTCAGACCCCATTGATCACTCATAGGAAACATCACCCTGTTTGACTGGTACATGGTAGAGGCTAGCAAGGGACTGGTGCTGGAGCATCAGCCAGGAGCAGAACCCCAGGACTCCTGCCCATGGGTGCTCCCTCCATGGAGGATGCTCACCTGGGTGCAGGGCATAAATACAGCCTGCAAAAACCCAGAGGAAACTGCTCTTTCTTGAACTGCTGGAAACCACAATAGGAATGTTTAACAGAAACTGTCAGGCAGGTATGATTTACTTGGCTTTCAATAAAATCTCACGTCAGAGACTATTAAAGCACCTTATCAAAGGTTAAAGGGGCAAAGTCCCCATTTGGCAACAGAAAACAATGAGAACATCTGCTCCTTGAAGCAAAAATGAGCAAACACCAAGGATCAGCAGAGGTCAATACTGGCATCATAACTATTTAATACCACTTTTATATTAATGAGAGGCAGGAAAAAGACAAAAAACAAGGCAAAGAAAGCCAACAATAACCCAAACTTACTTTAGTTTGTCGAAATAGAGGGAGGTAGGGAAAACAGTTATTTTGTGAGATGTGCTTTGCATGAGAAATTAAATTTTCACACTAAAGTTTGCCAGTGGAAGTAGTTTCATCACATTGAACGTCGTATTCAGCCCAAGTGGGGCTGAACCAGCTGGTCCCATTTTACCAGCCACTTCATTGTGAAATCTGAAATGAGGAAAAAAAAAAGACAAACACTTTCTCTGTCATTTCTTACCCTGGTTTTAATCAGCCAGTATTTCTTCATGCTCTTGTGATGCCACAGTTTCTTGGTTACAAACATTGCAGGGGAAGGCTGCATTGTTTTATTTAAAAAAAAAAAAAAAGTTTCTGCTGACATTTAAGAAACAGAACAGGGAGAGTTCAAACTCTGATCATTTTGTAAACACCAAAGATGCAGAACTGACTCAGAAGCCTACATGGATCAGAAATATTGTTTTGATTTAACCCGGATGTGTACACAACAAAGCACCTTCGCCAAAGAAATCGGAGCTGCTAATAATCCACACTCCAGGTCATCCATGGAAAAAAGACTGATGAAATGCAGGCCCTGCACCTGTAAAGGCTACAGACATCTGTCATGTCCTCAGGTCAGCACAGGAGGCAGCTGGCTTTGATGAGCGATCAGGCGCAGCATGAAGGGCTCTACTTTCTTTTCTTTCTCCTTTTCGCACTTCCTAAGGTGTGTGGAGCAGTCCCTTCTCATGGCATTGGACCAAATTGCTCCAATCATGGAGTTTCTGCTGGAGATTTTGGACACAGATAACAAAAAAGCCTTTCGGGGGGGGGGAAGGGAGGAAAGGAAATTTGATCAATTTTTAACTCCAGAAAACCACTGCTGGACTCCAGGAAAATGTTCCATGAAGCTGGTGGTTCCAGCAGTGTTCCCAGGGCTGCTGGATCCATCAGTTGTCTTTCAGGGTTTTGCTTATGATCCTGCACAATAAGGTCATTGCCCTGTGTGCACAAAATTCCCTTCCTGATCCCACACTTCCTCCAGCAGCTGTTCCAAGTGTAGAGCCCTGGAGAAGCATGGAGCACATGTGTGCTGGGTGCAGCAACACACCTGAAGCTGCAGTGGAGAGGTGGCTTGCTGCTCCTCTTGGCTTGGCTTTCTTGGCAAAGCCACTTTTCTACCCCTTGTCTGCCCACACAAAGCCTCACCCCAGCACAGGCAGCAGGCCCTGTCCACTGGGACATGTGAGATCCACCCAAGAATGCTCCATCATTGTCTGTGCCAAGAAATTGCTTTTAATTAATCAGGGCTTCAATTATATGCAGTTCTCATCTCTACACCCTGGTTAGCTTCAGCTCTACAGAGCCACATCTGTGCCAGTAGTAATGAGCATGAATTTCCATGTATTCATGTTTTCTTTCAGCCACGTTACCACCTGGAAATCTCAATTTATTTTTTTCCCCTCTGGTAAAGAAGTGTCTAGTCCTCCCAGATGTTGGGGGAAAAAAAAAAAAAAGGTAGATCCAATTCTTCCCTCCAAAAATATCAGAAAGGAAACACATGTAAGTCAGGGCTCAAAATCAGCAACATTATCTCATGGTTTTCCTTATATTTCATGTTTGCTTTGTTGTTTTTTTTAAATGAGGTGCTGGTTGTAGAGGTGATGGCTAAATGCTGGAGAAATGCTAGATCAGATCATCTGATTTCCAGCTCTCAAGATACTTACAGGGGGTTTTTTGAGATTGAAATCATCTCTCAAGGAACACACAGACGTGATAGAAGTCCAGTGCTCAGCAAAATCAGATCGATGGCAATCAGAAGATTCCGAGATCTTCCGCCTCCTCTCTGTCTGGGAGGAGGGAGAGGCACTAAAGGGCTCAAATTCCAGGTCAGGACTGCAGATGCCACGTCCTCAATTCATCTCTGCTGTCAAAACCATCAGCCAAATGCCCCACAGCTGCTCATGGAGAAACAGCTTCTGTGTGTTGAGCTTGAAATGCTTTCAGAGAGCACCACGGAGGAGCTTGAAAATCAATTAATTATACAAATATTAGTGACTTCCTAGATGTGCTCAGCGCTGGGAGCTCCCATGCACCTCTGGTCCCCTGCACCACAATCCTGGGGCACTACATTCTCTGGGAAACAAAAAGAGTAATTAAAATCAGGCAAGAAAAGCAACACTTTAATTTTTCCTCTTTCTGCTTGTTTTTAGGCAGGACTTTTTCAAAGCCAGTTGCACGAAAAGCAATCTTTGAACTAATAGGCAATTACTTAATTAGATACTTAGCTGTAAATTACATGAAGCAAAATGCCTGGTTTCACTATTTGGAAATGTAAACTGGGCCCTGTGCTATCCCTAACACAGAAATTCCCTCCTTTCTAGAGAAAACTTGTCTCACATGCAAAGCAAGAGACTCATCTGAATTCTGGCTTTGATCGTTTGGGAAAAGGGTCTTTGGAAGCACAAAAATCACTTTAATGGAGAAAAATTAACTGAGAAGACACTGGAAATCAGACACATTAAAGACATGTTAGATTCCAGTGATTTATATATTAAATGCATAAGAAAAAATGGGATGCTTTGCAAATCAGTGATGGAAAAAGGTTGACTTGAGCAAGTAGTCTGTGACAATCCCGGCTCTTGGGTACTAAAACACAGCACAGCTTCCTAGAGTTGTGCTGAACCCATCACCACCTGCTGCAAAACAGGATTACATTTTCCCTGAAGCATGCTCAAAAACACATTCTGGGTAAAAAAAAAGTCACCAGTTGACACACTCAGCCACATTGCAGTGCTCCTGCTGTGGTACCTGCAGCCTTCCATGGGGAACACACTGATCAAACCCCTTGGAGATGACACCTGAGGAAATGACACCTTTATCTTCCTGAGGCTGTAGTCTTGGCTCTGCACTCAGAAAAATTTAATGTTGGCCAAATTTTGCCCATTGTAAGGTCCATTTGACCCCCTCACTTTCCTTCTTGCCCAACATTTTGGTGTAACATGGATAATATGTGACTTTTTGTCCAGCTTCTGGGAAAAAATTCAGCATCGGTGAAGGACCTGTCTCTGCAGGTGCCAGGTCTCTTCAGCTATGGTTAAATTTCCCACCCAAATTGTTCCAAGTCGCCAAGTTTTCATATTGTAGGAGAAGGTGTCAGAGCAAGGCGTTCTACAGGTAGACTCATGCTTCTCAGGGGAAACATCAGTCTGTGTGAGGAAGAATTTCTTCACAGAAAGAAGATTAGACACTAGAACAGGTTCCCAAGGAGGTGGAGGAGCCACGGTCCCTGGAGGTGTTTAAGGAAAGCCTGGTGCCATGGTCTGGTTGACACGGTGGTGTTTGATTATAGGTTGGACTCCCTCCGAGAGGTCTTTTCCAATCGGTGAAGGGAAATGACCTTAAACAGAGACAGAGATTCAGATCAGATATTCAAGAAGTATTTGTCACCGTTAGGGTGCTCAGGCATTGGCACAGGTTGCGCAGGCAGGTGGTGGAGTCACGGTCCCTGGAGTTAAGTCTGAGAGGCGCCTGGCTCCGGCGCTCCTGGGGAGGTTTAGTATTTAAGGGGTTACAGTGGCAGGGCTGGGCTGGACTGGTTCATCTTAAAGGTCGCTTCCAACCTTGATGATTCCGTGATTGCAGGAAGGGAGCAGACCCTCTCCACACACCCCG